AATTTGGAGGGTTGTGTCGAAGACATATGGTGATGTGTTGGGATATAAAAATAGTCTGAGTTGTCTGTAAAGTCGTTCATTAAGTGATTTGGTTTAACAGTTCAGAAATGGTGCAAAACTAAAATTAATAGTTACTTTTAATATATTTTAATTATATTGATTTATTAACATTTTATTACATTAATATAAACAAATATAGTTTATAATTATAGTTTGCAATTATAATAAGATTACTATACCTTTAAATAATTTAGTTTATTATAATTATTAATTTGGTTTAGTAAAAACTAAAATTATAACATAAAATGATTGTTCGTTATATCGGTAATACAAAAAAATAAATGCCAAAAAAATGGAATAAATAAACAAAGAAATAGAAAAATAAAATAAAGCAAATCCGATAAAACAATCAAGAAATTAAGAAAGAAATAGAAATATTAAAAATTATTGAAAACTCCAAAATTTACAAATAAGACATATGAGTCAACTTGATAGCTACAGTTTAATGATTGTAACTAAATATTTTGATACAATAGAAGACTTTATTAATGTCGAGTTTGTCAATAAGAAGTTTCGCTTTAATTTAGATAAATTCCATTTCAACCCTATAAGGTTAACAAAGAAGACTTTGAAGTATTTTTCTCATATAGAAACACTGAACGTGTGGTCTAAAGACGATGAACATTTTGGGAACAATGTTATTTGTACGATCGACTTATCAAGTAACTTCACAATAAAAAGTGCAGACATTCCACAAATCAAAATAAGGCACTTGGAATTTTCTCAAAACACCACAAACACAATTTTTAGCGACAAAGACGCAACAGAAGAACTCACCAACACAGCCGAAAAAGTAGAAAAAAAAGAAGAAGTCGAACAATCAAAAAATTCAAATCAACACAAAAATAATTCTGATGGTAAATATCTTCAAATACAAAATTTTGAATGCGAGAAGAAGACAATTTTCAAATCGCACTTTCTAGCGCAAAAAAAACATCTTCATGAAGTCCAAAATTTGCAATTCACTTCAAACGAAGACACAAACGCCACGCAAAACATTCAAAACATCGAAAAAACAGACAGACAACGTTTTTTCTGTGTTATTTTTTGGTACACTGTCTCGTATTCAACTACACGGAAATACACAAACGAGAACTACATTTTCAAGTCAGTGGTGTACACTTCAGACACAAGAAAGTGTACGGATCAACAATTCCAACAAACGTCACTATTCTTGGCAAAGAATGTTTTGCGAAAAGTCCGAATACATCGCTTGTAGTACCAGATAGAGTCTATTTTCTCTCAGAATTCTGCTTTTTGGATTGCAACAACTTGCGTGAAATTGTCCTTCCAAAGTCACTTTCTTTCATCAGCAAAAGCGCGTTTTATAATTGCACTTCACTCACTGAAATTACAGTCCCCCCACGGGTCTCGTCAGTTTCTGATTACACGTTTTACTCGTGCGAGTCGTTGCAAAGATTTACAGTGCCAGAGCAAGTGACGTCGATTGGGAATTACGCGTTCAGTTGTTGTTATAATGTTACGTCCATCTCACTGCCTACAACACTTAAAACACTGGGGAATGAGTGCTTCTCAAATTGTT